TTGATATTTATAATATCTATAAACCCTGTTACCTAATATTACAAAAATCTAAGGCAAGGATAATGACACAAATGTCTTTTGTGTTGCCATACTTATTAATATAAGGAGTGAATACACTGTATTGTTCTTCAAGTTTTAGGTATTAGAGTACAAGTATACTTAATTATAAAGTACAATGAGTTTTAAAATCGACATTTTCATAGGAATTTATATATTAACTATTTTTAGATGGACCAAAACAATTTTATCCACATAATAACACCAAATAAAATGTCAAAAAACTCGAAAATTTCAAATAAGTATAAATACCTCACAAAAAGTTAGAATAATGTAAACATTTTACCACGTCTAGAAATGGCTAATATGAGTATTCGATAAACAATCCAGGTATCTACGGTTTATTTTTAATTGAATCATAATAAAAAAACGAAATCAAAAATAAAATACACCCTTGTTGTTTAAATATATCTGGTTCCGATGTTTTTTCTGATTGAAAGCTACAAGGAAAATGAAAAAAAACGACCTTCCTTACATTTTGTTGGTGAACTAAATAAAATTTGTTACCATTAACTACCCCTAAATTTGATGATCAGAGGAGCAAGGTTTGTAATAGGAAAGTTGTTTACAAACAGAAGAAAAATTAACATACGCATCATAATAAAACCAATAGGTACATTATTCATTACTCTCAGAATCTAAAATAATCGTACAAAATAATTTTAGCTAAAACATATAAGTAATTTGGTATATCATACCAATTTCTAGCATTGTAGAAACGCAATAATTAGAAAAAAAAAAAGTTTACTAGTTTGGATATAATATACATGGTCATAGATAAAACTAATAAAGTCCATAAATAATATAGGTGTATATAACTATACAGTATTGTGAGATATATGGGTTATATAACTCATATTATACATAACACGTAAACATATTTTAAATACCTATCTGGTTATGTGATTATGTAAAATGTAATATACATATTTTATATTAATAATATATTATATATATATATATACTAAAAAAATATATATTTTTAGATAAGTATTCTACAAAAGAAACTCGTTTGCATGTATGCTTAATACTTATAAATTATAATGATTAAATATAAAGTTACAAATCTTCGAAATGCCACCACAAACATTATAAATATTGAACACTTAAAATAGGTACTACATCGAAAGTTACCTATGTACGTAATGTAAAACAAAATTAAATTTTTTTCTTTATCGAATACCCCTTACAAATTGATTATAGACATTAGACATGCAGTATACCCTGATGAAACTACACGAGTGCGACACTAAGCTTTCTATAATATCGTATAAAAAAAAAAAAATGAAACGGCGTTTACAAATGGAAAATGTAATCCATTATTTATTTATTTAGTTTAGATATTGAACACAGCGAGAAACGTATTGGTTTTATTATATCATAAGTGTTTTTTTATTATATTTTTTTTGTCTGTTTATTAACTTTTTTATTAGAAAACTTACTCCAATCAAACAATGACAATCGAGCTTTTTTGTAGTAGTTTAAATCTTGTTGATATATTGAAAAGATTATTTTTTGATTTATTCAGTTTTCATAATAATAAATTGGAAAAAAACCAATATAATATGGAAAATAGACCAATTTACGGCAGTAAATTTTCATTATTTTCGACTTTTTCAATTTTATTTGTCTACAAGAAATTTTGCTTCGTTTTAAGAATAGCATCTTTTATGAAGAAAATTTTATCTTGTTAGTAAAGTAGTTTTTTGATTTTTCTTGTATGATTTTTAATAATTTGGAAGAACAAATAGGAAACACCAGAAAGTTTCCGGAAATAACTGTTTCATTATTTTCAACTTTAATTTTTTGTTTTAATTTGATTAAAAATAATCGTAGAGACCTGAAATTTTCACAGAAGCTTTATTGGCCTTTTTTAGACATGGTAAATTGTTCAAAACATCCCGGCTTTTTTGAGCTATTTATAGGCACTTTAATTATATTATTTGATATTTGTATTAACAATATAATATTTGCACCGTTCTATGGTGATAGGATTTCGGTGGAAATTGGAGGTTTGTACTCAAATAGTGAAATTAAATTGAATGTAATGATACATTTATGCACACCCGATTATTGATTTGATGGCATTTTGTCAAATCGAAAGTTGTATAAAAATATGTATGTTTAAGCAGTAAGGTTATAATCTTATGAGTGACAATCACATTCCGTATTAGAGAAGCGAAAATATTCAAGGTATCTAGGTAAATTTATTGGCTTAGGCTTGTGTGGGAATTTTTTACACGCCAAATCGCATTATAATTTTCTTTTAAGGGAAAAACGTTTTAGTTAATTGACTTTTGCTGTAAACAATTTTTAAGAACCCAGAAAAATTTGTATCCGCATTAAATAAAATAACTCAAAAATGACGTACCACTGTTACGCACCCACACGTATTCCCATGTACAAAAACGGGTGAGTCCATAGTAGAAAAGCCAGTATCACATGCGAATTCAAACCGAAACAGAACCCAAAACGATAATAAAAGGTGTTATGTACCCACGCGTGACTTGTAAAACACGCGTGAGCTCGTACTTAACGTAGGTAAAAATTGCCACTAAAATAATAATTAATACCATTAATTACAAGCCGTACGGGCTCGGGTACCTGAAGAGCACAACTTCACATTATCTGCCACAACTTATATACTTGTATAATAAGCCAGGACGGAGGGAAGTAGATAATTACTAAAATACAAATGTAGATTATAATAGATTATAAATTGTCGTTGACAATGGTCAGGTCCGGATTGAATCGGTGAGCTACCGATAAAATCTCGGTGGGCTGCACAAAGTTATACTTGTTTTTAATTGAATTTATGTTAATTTTATCTATTTTGTATAATTTTGGCTCAGTGAAAATCCTAAAACTCATCGGGCCAATACATTCAATATCTGGCGCTAACAATAGCCAATTACCCACGTGTCGAAGTGTAGATAACCGCACAGAACGGCTAGGTATAACGGATTGCGGGGACACATCCTGATCATATAATATAACGTCGACCGAATCATCGTCAAATTAGACGAGTCCACCACGAAAAAAAGTGATAATAAGTGATTACGTATCTGTGGTGCCTATTTTAAGTAGTTTGTTGTAATCAATAATTATTTTTGGCATCTTTCAGCATCATAAGGAAATAAACATTGTATAGAAATAAAAATATTTTGAATAAGACATTCGAAAGGTAGGTGGTTGTTAAGTAGGTGGACGCTAGGCAAGCCATCGGAATATGAAATATAGCACTGATCACGCCATTGATCGGTACTATCAATTAATTAGATATTTCGAAAGCATTAAATATCGAAACTAGATTATATTGATATTGATAAAATTATATCGTTCAGTTTTTATCTAAGTAGGTATTACTCAGATTTAAATTTTTTAAGTTCTCAGTTATGATTTTCGAATAAGATATTTTTTCAATTAATGGCTGAAGAATTTTTAGAAAATATCTTAATCCATCAGACACTTTTTTGAAAAACGTCACTGATGTTAATTCCTTGCACGTCTACAGCACGCCAAATAAATTCAACGTCGTCGGGGCGGTGCAGAGTAAGCAATAATTTTTAGGTAAGTAGTGGCACGGGTATTAGTATACCAACATTATTATAATATTTATATATTATTATATTATATTGTTATAGGCGGACGCAGTGATCGAATTGAGGGGGAACGCAGAGGAATGGAGTATCTCAATTAATTTTTCAGAAATGTAAGCGTACCTTTACTATTTTTTAAAGTGAAACGCATGGAACATAGTGGGGAATAAAAGGTACCATGTCTGGAAAGAGCTGATAAGAGACTATACCTATCAAAGTAATCAGTGGAATTTTTGACCTCTACGATTATTTTTCATTGTATAAACAAAATAGAATAAAACAAAAGCGGTAAATGTAACAGTTACAAGTTTCACCGAAGTTTTTTCTAGGGATTTCTTCATAATTAAGAATACTACAAAGAAAACCAAAAAATAACTTCCTTATTGCACCAACCAGATAACAATTTTTACTAGGAACCATCGCCTCTAAAGTTGATGATTGAAACAAGATTTCAGGTAGAGAAGTTCTTCGTAGACAAAAAAATAGAATAAACACATCATCATTATAGAATCATAGTAGTAACCATCATATTAGAATCTAAAATAAATAATATCTACTATTGTATGTACTATGCAAGCAAGTTAGCCTGTAAGTAGTGTTTGTTTTCGGAAATTATGAATTACTCAATTATGTTTGAAAATTGGTATGGGAGGTGTGTAGTGCTAAACCTCCCACGGGTCGGGTTTAGTTCAAAAATTGCAAGGGATGCTAATTTTTTTTTATAGTCCTTCTTTTCTTATTTGTTCAATTCGAGCACTGAGCAGACGACGAGATTTGGGTAATAGGGTACCAACCATAACAATAAAAACAACAACAACAACAACAACAACACCGGCAAGTATGATATTGTATCGTGCGTGTGGAATGAAAAAAAAATGAAATAAAATAAAAACCGAATCACGCGTCATATACGCGGTTCATTGTTTAATGGACGGACGAGTAGCTGCGGCACGACGGCGGAGGTGGTGGCGACGAAGGGTACAACAATCTAAAAAACCTAGGGCAGGAATTCCATCATTTCGTTCGCATCAAACGAGTAGGAAAAAAAATAATAATAAAAAACTAGACAAGGCAAAATAAAACTGGCATGCACACACACAAACGCACATACGCGCGAGCACGTACAGTATATACACGGACGCATACACACGCGCGCGTTCGCGCGCACACACAAAACCCGGGCCGTGTTATGGTAATAGCCGCATTCCAGCGGATCCGCGGTCTGATTGGCTACCGTTTCGGTGATGTCATGCGATTGATAATAGAACCGGCCGCTGGCGCGCGCGCGCGGTCGCTCACGCCGCGAACGCTCTGTATACCCGTTTTTCTTGTCGTGACGGGGGCAACGTTGCTGCGTTCGGCCCGACCATTTCCAAGATGGCGAAGTGCGCGTGACATCTATCGTCGTCGGTCTGTCCGCCAGTAGTGAACACAACACTGTTGCCCGCAGATAACGCGCGCGCGCACACACGTAACGAGTAACGACGACGCCGTCGCGGATATAATATTTTTATTTCGATAACGTAGAGTTGTTCGTACTGTTCGTATTCGATTTTTCCGACCGTTTTGTTTTTGTGATATCCTCCGCCACCCGAAAAAGTGTTTCCCCGAACACACACACACACACACGTACGGTTTTCGCCAATGGATTCGATTTGGTGAGTCGACTTTGATGGATACAGTGCAATGCCGAGACGACGGAACGGAGAGATACCGTTGCCCGACGGTTGGGATTTCGCGAGGGACTACGACGGAAAAGTGTATTTCATCGATCACAATACCAAGAAGACCACTTGGATCGACCCCAGAGACAGGTAAATCGATGATGTTAATAATAATAGTATAATTTACCGGCGATTCTTTTTGTTTTCAAATATTTCCGTCGGTACGGTTTTCGGGACCACGTTCCGGCGATCCCGCGGGATTTCGGGAGCGTGTATGCGCGCGTTCACGGTGTGCGTGTGTGCGCGCGCGATTTCAGTTGTGAAACGCACACGCGCATTCCTTTGACAGAAATCCGGCTGGAACATCACGTTTTTTTTTTTGAACTGTCGTCAGTGCCATCTATATTGAAATATGCCAAACTATCCGCCGCGCCGCCGTCTCCCTGCGCCCCGCGCATCTCCCACCCGTCCCGCCACTCACCGCGCGTTGCCCATTCAGTGTTCGGCGAGTACGAATTTATCCAAACAACCGTGTGTGTGTGTGTGTGTGTGTGCGTGTGCGCGCGTGTGTTTTACAACTACACATTGTAATGGAAATAATTAATATTTAACGCACACGGTATATTATTGTTATTATTATTGTCAATATATTATTTTTTACACACATAATATATATTTATGAATACAACTGGTATTGAAGTGAAATCTTTTACAGCGCGGTACTTATTTATACCCGACGTTTTATATATAATATAATGAAATACGACAAAATCGTAATTTTTTTTTTCCCCCCATATCTGTTTGATCTGTTCGCGTTCGACTAATTATATTATATACGTTTACGTTTCTCTCTCTCTCTCTCTCTCTCTCTCCGATACGCTTAAAATAAATTAACATCCAGGTCATCTGATCTATTAGAGAAGCGTTAGTCGTTACACCGTATAATAATAATCGTAATAATATTATAATCCCCAAATTTGTATAGTGTAACGTTTTGAAATTAATCCGAATAACACGATAACAGTCCGATGCTTGTTTACGTTTCAAATCGCTTATTATTATTGTAGGTACTTATTTGCTCTTTTTGTTTTTGTTTTTTTTTTTGTAAATTAACTTTCGATATTTATTATAACGCATATTTTTGTAAATGTTACAGAAAACAATATACCTGGGTATTCTGTAAAGAATCGTGTACGATTCGAGGAGTGGGAGAACCACGGGGTGGCCAAACGATAATTCGTCCCCGTCTATAGTTTAGATTTTTTTAAGTTGGTATTTCCGATTGTATAGTTCCGGATGGAGGAATTTCAGGCCAATACAAAAACGTCATCGATAATAAATTATTGTGAGTTTGATTCGGTTTCGAATATTTGATGTGGTGTAAGTGGTTGATAATGTTCGGAAACTTTATCTCGAAATACCTGAAATGACTGTACATACAGCTCGTACTAAAACGACGCCACTGACCTATAGATGTTTGTCATGACGTGTTTATAAAGTAGAATTCTATGCACCTACCTTTATGAAAGAAGGTTCCCGGGAATCATAAAAAAAACCAATTAAAATCGTATTAAAAAAGAAAAACCTAAAACGATTTCATAGTTACTCTAATCTCCCTGTCCCTTATTGGATTCGCCCACCTGTCTATATAGGTGTATTATACCTAATCACAATAATTACATTTTTACAGGTATTACAGGTATTAACCAATTATATTTGTTTCATACCTCGTAAATTATACAGTTAGACCTACCCGCCGTAGAAATTCGAGTGCTCGGCGTTTGAACCCTGGGAATTTCACTCCGTATTTCATTTACAACGTTTAGACGGTTCTTTCTTTCAAATAACAAGATTTTGATATTTTATTTGATTCTACTGTATTATACTACCTGGGTGTTGTACGTATGCATTTTGAAACGAGATTCAAATCGAAAGAAATAATTTTTAAAATTCATACTTCTATCGTTCAAGTGCAAAATACGTTAACCGTTTAGTTTGCGTTCTAATCACGATTAATCGTTTTAGGCCCCACCGTCCCACCCCGTTCCACACCCAAACCGTTTTTTAAAATAACTCTACGGTACCCTAGGTACGTTAACCTATTCTGTTTGTCGTGATATTACGTGTTGACTGCAGTTGATGTACGACGTTTATCGTTTTTATCGAGCGTATTCGAATAGATTTAAACTATTTAATAGGATATATTGTTTAATAAGAAAACAATTCTATACTATTATATCCGCGCTAATTCCTAGCGGTTGTGTGAATACTTGAAAGTTGTAACGACGCGTTCGTTCGATTAGCCGCCGCGTTACTACGGATATTGGCGGCCGCCGCCGTATATTATCGGCCGAAATAGTTACTCGGCCCGGGCGTATACGGAATAATAGATATTGCGTTCCAGTGACGTGCCGAAGTAAGTTTTTTCTAGGCAATTGCCGCATGACTAAAATGAGCGGGTCGTCTGGTCATCGAATAATACGTTAAATGTTGATAAGGTAAAACTAGTTCGGAGATCAGAGATGCCCTCATAGTTTTGCCTGTCATATTATTTATATTATTAATATACCTACGTAATATAATTATGATAATTTTGGGTGGATTGGTTCTAATTTTTTTGTTTTGCCGCCCCAAGTATAAGAAATGTTCAGCACGCCGCTGTTGTGTTCGATAATGATAATAATATCGTATTATTATTGTTATATCGAGCGCCGCGCCGCGCCTGTAATGCGTATTACAGTACAGAACGCATTCGTGTTTACCGATTTCGTAATATTTATTATAATGATGCGGGTACGAAAATCGAATTCGTTTCAAAATACGGCGGCGGCGGCGGTTTAATAACTTCAAAATCGCAGTTATATAGCTGTATTATAGGTAGAGACGTATATTATACCCGTGATACCTCTCTATATACGGCGAGTTAACATTGTTTCGTTACGTGCGGTATGCGTGCATATATATATATATATATATATATATATATACAAAAACAAATAAATTATATAGGTACGCAGTTGGGTATAGGTATATAGTATTGTGTATACATAATATGTTTTTCTGTAGAATTTATACCTAACGAACTTGAAAAACTGGTATCCAAACATTCCGAACGAAAACCCGGTAAGTCGTAACGTTTCGAACTTTTCTCGTCTTCTTATAATATTATATACGGGTATAGGTTAGGTATATGTGCAAAACGTCGCCGTCTTCATCGCAATGTTACACGGTTTTTCAAATCTCGCTTCTTACATGTAGAAACGACGCGGTTTTCCTTGTACAAAATATTATATCCGATTGCCCATACTATCGTTTTGATAAAAACGTCAATGTACACTCTAGTGTTGAATCCGGGTATGTAACGGGGGGGGGGTCGATAGCCTTCCCTGCAAATTTTTTTTACCCCCCCCCCACTCCCTTGTTAAATGTAGGCAATTTAATAATCAAACAAATCAAATTGGTCTTAAAAGAGTAGATAAACAAAAAAAAAAAAAGAAGATCATTACTATAATTTTAGTAATGCTCCCCCACCAGAAAAATTGTCTGAATTCAACACTGGTACACCCGCGTTCGATTAAAATGTACATCGATGCGCCGCAATAACAACTGTATACTATTATCGCGTGTACGCGGGCCGGCGCGAACAAACGTACGTTTCATTTCCAATATTGTTAATTAATAACAAAAATAATTCAAATTTTACTCGGGAACGGTATGAACGTATTCATTTTTTTTATCTATAAAGCGATGCGCGAGCGCGTGTGTGTTGACATAATAATGTAATGTCGTGTTAAAAATAAAACGTCCCGACGGCGGACGACGAGGACGCGCCGCGCCCGCTCGAAGTCGTGTCGCCATGCTGTCTATTACTGCGGCTGCACTTGTGCGTTTCTGACGTCTCGATCTTTTTGATATTATATTTTCCCTTCCGATGTGCCATTAGAAAAATAAAATGCGATCCTTTCTTGTGCCAATTAAAATTTCACAGACGGTTGGTCTTTCGGATCGGGTATAATAGGCGGTGTACTGCAGTAATGGTAGGCAGGTATTCATTATTTCCTATCGGCGTTTCGGATTTTGCATTATTCTTTGGGGTCTTGCAAATTTCACATTACACGGTCAAATTGTACATGAATAGTAATTCATACTAATTTACGAGTTTAAAAACTTTTTACAACATAATTGTATTATTACAAAGTTGCATTGTGTTTATTTTTTCACTTTTATTTTTTGGGGCACATCGGTCATCTATACTTTTGATTTTCAAATAGCCGTGCGCTGTGCCGATAGTTTATCGATAGCATGTACTCGTTTCAAATTGTCGATGGTATAGTATGAGATATTACGATGAGAAGGTAATTAGACGTTCCCAACTTGACTTAAGTGGATAGCAAAAATATTAACTTACAAATCTCGATTTCGGCAATCAGTGTTCACAAATATTAAATTATATAACGAAATAATATCATTGTGATAGTTAATTTATTTTAAAGTTACATTGCCATAAATCAAGTTAACCAAATGGAACGTTTGGTAATTTAAAATGAAAAAACTGTTAAATTCTTTGACAAAGTAATTGAATTAAAATTCGAAAAAAAACATTCAAGTTGATCAGATCGCATTGTTGACATATTTCACTTGTCAATTTTTTGTGCGTTTCTCAGCCAGATGAAAATTAATTAAACTGTATAAATAATACAAATTATTTAAATACTGGTGAAATAATCGATAACCTTCTCGATTATCTATAAATAGACGTTGCCTAGTAATTTCAATGCAAATCACAAACACTATTTTCGACTACCCGCGGTGGTGTTAATAACACATCTTTATTTTGGTGCAAATTACAGACATTCGAGAGCGTATCTGTTACGCGGTTATTATTTTATTTTATAAAATGAATAATTTACCACACGCGATCAAAACGAACGGAATTTCCGTATTGGATGATTTAGTTTGTCACAATTATTATTTTATTGTAAAAATAAAATCGGTATACCTATATTATCAGTAACAAATTTTTTTTGCGACCTTTTTGACCATTTCAAGGTTAGGTAAAACGAGATATGTATACAAATTTCGTTTGGAATCCACTACCGGCTGTCTTGACCGCTGTAGACGTTTAACGGTATAATAATAATAATTATTATTGTTGTTTAGTACATTGTATGCAAGTAGTTTTATAGTTTGCGGAGTAAAATACGTAATATACGCGTTCAATTTGTTGTACTGCAGTAATACGTTCTGTAAATTGATTCGGTATCATAATGATTACGAGTATCAGTTTATTTTTGACCAGGGTACTATTCTTATTAGCGTACAAATTCTTCTAGTAATGTAATAGAAATTGCAGTGTTATAAATTCACACAATACGTATTTGTCTATAATTTGTATTCTTGAAAATCTGAGAGGTAATTCTATTGGTTTCGTTCGATGATGTTTTTTTTTTTTTTAGTTAAAGGATTCTCTTTTATATATTATAAATTGTACTAGTGATTTAATAGTTTTACGTCGCTTTATTGATTTTAATTAATATAATATAGAACGCGAACATAAATGGTCAGCAGTGGTGGCTGTATGTTGTATCCCAGTTTTGAGTGAAGGGGGATGTATTTTAAATCTCGGTTGGACCTTGTGGTTTAATTCAGGATTGATAATATAGTGTTTTATATGTTACACGTATAAAACCCCACGTATGAAACGTATACAACTTTATAACGATTAAGACATAAGAAATATTAAATATACATTTTTTTCTTTGAAATTTATTATAATTATAATAGTGATTATACATTGATACTGTACATTTGAAGTTTTATTGAGTATAGACTCATAAATTAATATAAAAAATTAAAAAATTACATAAATTTGGTACATTTTCTTAAATTTAAAATAAAATAAAAACAAAATAAATTATCCCTGTTGGAAATTTATTATTCTAATCATTACTGAAAATCTGCAAATTTGAGTGGATTTAATTGAACAAATTGTCCATAACCCCTCTCATTCAAAAATTTCTGAACGCGGTTTTGTTTAAACCATCCTTATTTCAATGACCAAACTCTCAAGGAGGAGATGATCCATCAATTCACCACTTATGATAAGTGGCATCAGCAAAAAAGGAGGTTGAGGATTATATCACTCTCCCTCATTGAATTAAAGTAAAACTATGAGTAATTAACTTGTAGTTCAATAGAAAAAGCTTGACACATATTGAATAAAAATTGGCTGTTTTGGATTTGGCTTTTTAATTCGCACTGTGGGTTTTATTTTTTTATAGAAAACGTTTCTACGTTTTATTCATGTATATTATTTACTACACCATTTCCTATTGCAAATTTCTGAGCACGTCAATGGTAGTAATCGATAGCTATCTTTTTTTCAAGTATTTTCCTTGTATGTAGTCGACTACACTGTCGCAAAGTCGGTGAAATTGACTGTAAGTGTACTACTACTACGTTTCTAATAATAAATCTCGACCGTTTTTGGTCTAGTTTTGCTCAGAATTATTTTTCAATGACGATGTGTTTAATCCAATCGATCGATTTCGAATTTTACATAATTAATACAATTTTACTGACTTACACTGGAATGAGCTATACGAGTCGAGTATACTCCACACTCATTCTCCCGTAGAAATCTTCACAGTATCCTGTCCTTAATTACTTTCTACCTTGTTTTATTACAAAATCGAATTATAAATTGTTACTCTTTATTTTTTTGAATGTTTAATTATAAAATCATACCATGATATAATAATAATGCATCTTTGAAAATAAACCATAGATTAATTATTTGTCATTTTAACTTCTAAAAAAATGTATTCAGCCAAACGTTAATAAAATGTTAAACGGTTTTTGTGTACCGTTATTTATAATAATATACGCACTGACTACAGTTCGTTTTATTGTTCTTTAGTTATTTCACAGGAACATTGTTCGTATATTAAATGTATGTATATACAATTCAAAATTAGAATTTCGAGCTATAACCAGCCAACTGCATTTTTTTTGAGAAATTTACATTTTAATTAATTCTGACAGAAGGAATTATTATCGTATTTTCAGTGCAAAAACGAGACGAATCCGATTATCTGTATGGAAATAATAACGCGGCTAAAGAAAATTGTAAATATTTTTTAAGCAAAAATCAAAGTTCTCATCGTCTTTTTAACAAAATTCTAGTTAAAACCAGATAGTTCCAAACATTTAAGATTATCTTCTTCTTTGATATTTAGAACTCAGTTTTTACTACCATTAACTTCTTTCCTCCTTCCTTCAATTTTCCGGACGTTACCTTCCATTTATGTTCCTGCTTTAGGCTTTTCCTCCACTATTTCTAATCACCTCTTCCGTGACCTGCGACGGAGTCTCCTCTTTTCGGTTATACTTGTATAACAATTATTCGCTTCCGTCTTAAAGAAAACAAACGGTACAAATTAAATCTAGTAAGACTGAATCCTTTTTTTTGTATCCCGCTAGACCTTGGTTTAATTTAGCTAAATTAATTTTGTTTTTGTTTCCTGAAAAGGTTTGAAAAATAGAGCTGTCTGGTTATTGCACAATGATAACGCCCTTTAATTATCATTTCTACAAAAATGTACGTTAAGTACCTACAATGGGAATGTAAAATAACCGTTTTTATTAAAATAAATGCAAAATAAAATCATGTATAATAATAATTGTGTACAGAATGGATATTTGGATTAATAAGTAAATAAAAATATACAATCTTAAGCAAATGAAATATAATTAATGTTTACGCGATGGTTGAAATCTTTCGATTGTTATCGTAGAATGTGCGCGCGTTGGGCGAGACTAGCAGTACGAATACTTGTCTTAAAAATATTATTACATGCATTTTCGTTGTCTAATGCATTTCGATGTTTATACCCACATAATATTTTGTTATGTTTGGTACCGTGAAAATGACTTAAACAACCAATTTCCTCCACCCAAATACCGATTCGTGATTCAAAATTTAAATACGAATATAATAATAAATAGTTCAAAATGTCTTTGGGGAAATTCCGCATATTATCGGTGCAGATACCGTATTGATCCTGCGTCTCTGCAGGAAAATTAGCTTTGCTGGTTGCAAAATACTTTTGGTGTCAATATTATAAACCGTAAATTAAACAATATTTATATTAAAAACATATTATACAATTAAATTTGTTTATTTTAGTTCTAACGACATTCATACATTTGAATTCATCAAAAGAAGCACAATGCCGATCGTCTAGAGAGTTCTAGGCTAAATTTTATCAATAATTTCGTTTAATTGACGTTCAAAGAATTCTTAATCTTTATCTTTATCTGTTAATACATATATACATAAGGTACTATTATTTATTTGAAAAATTCAAATATTTCCTCAAGTGATTAGGGCGTCTCTGCGGGTACTGATAGACATATTTTACACTTCAACTATCTCAGCCATTGGTGATGTTTATCTAATACATGTGATATTATTTTGATTGTGAAAACGTTTTTTCCAATAAATATAATATTATGTTCGTGCGTGAGAAATTGATTTTTACAATATTCGTTAATTAAACACCGATCGTAAATCATAAAAAATCGTACGAGAAGTTATTCGTCAATCGCATCACGAACCGGAATTATTTCTGATTCTGATGTATAGGATATTTTACGGAGAGAGGCTGTGATGTATACTGTTCTATGTTACGTGTACTCGTTTAAGAATTTTTGTTATATTTTTTTTTCATAAAACGAGAATGATGATCCACATTGTCGTCGTATAAAAATAATTGAGTAGTACGCACATGTTATTATTTTTCGATAGTCGTTTTTACTTAGTAACAGTAGTAGTTGTAGACACTTTGACTAAAGTATTATAGTTAGGAGGTTCCTATATTTGACTAATACTTACACTTACTTATTAAGTGTCTATTAAGTACGCGCATGACTATTGTAACACGTCATAATAATTGCGTTTATATATTTATGATATTACTCGTTTATTTCTCATTTTTAAAATACAAAGTGTATCTGCAGGACTAAAAAAATTTCAATGCAATTGCAATATATATATATATTTATAGGAAATAGTCAAATCCTGTAGATACACAACCCCGTATAAAATGATTTATTAATACGAACGTTTTTATATTATGACGCGCGTGATTATGATATAATATAAATAATAAAAAAGTACCAATATTTAATTTAATTTATTCATTAAATTAAATTAAATTATATGAGTAGTAAGTACTGGGCCTTACTGAGAGAACTCGTGTGAGGGACAGAAGTTCTAAATCAAGTTATGTAAAAATAACATTTCTATTTAATTTTGAGTTAAGGATTGTTTTCGTGTCTTAATAAGTTTTTAATGGTCAAATGTTATAGAAATGAAAGTTAAATTAATAAAAGTCAATATTATTTTTTATAAATAGTATACTAAGCCATGTCCTAAACCTTGGAGATTCGCAATCGCTGAAGTTTTTCTAAAATCACACACTTCCATTAAAACGTGTCTCTCGTTTTTTTTCACCAATAAACTTGTTTTGACCAAAACGACCATATTTTTTTTTTCATCAATACACGATTTTACAAATGAAATATTGACAAATTTCCGCTGAGAGGCCGCCAACGTGCAGGAGCGTCTCCAGACATTGACTAATAATTAAATTGAATATTAATGATTGATAAGAAAAAAACTGACATACTTCGCACGATGAGTGGACCACTGTTATAGATGAGAAGTTGGGAAGGTAGGATATTGAAAGAAATTTAATGTATATTTGTACGTAAGCAAATTTAAGTATTACCAAAAAAAAAAAAAAAAAATGATTTTGAGCAAAGAAATAATATTGCTCAGGAGCGCCTTCAGGTCAATTAGTAAAATAGTTTTTTCAACCCACTGATATGAACTCGGAAGGAACCCCTAGGATGATAAAAGGCATAAATTAGATCACAACATACATGCTTTAAGAACGACAATATAGAGTTATTTAACATAACATAATATAATGTCCACATTATATCAGAACTTCAAAAAGCTATAATTTCGAAACTTAGTCAGTCCGCTTAACTTTGTTTTCACCATTGTTCTTAAATCTGCAATATACATAATTTTGTATAGATAACTCGGCTATAGATAATTTAGTATCTATCTTTAGTATACTTCAGTATCTATATCCGTGATAGATATGTACCTATAATAATAATGATATGAAGTTTTTATACATTTTTATTAATGGGAACTTTAAAATTCTAATTTTAACATTAATTGTAGGGATAAGGACTACAAATATTTAAATTTGAATGAAATTTTTCTATTTTGGTGAAAAATAACATTTAGCTTTTTCCAGTCCTGTATATCTTAGTTCATGGTACAGGCTGACAAACAAACTGATATTAAATTATTCCAATTAATAATTTACTTTTTTTTTTGGTTGATATGAGATATTATTTTTTTTTTCCATTTATAAGAGAGTTGTTTTTGGCCCTAAAATAAAAATGTCTATAAAAACCTCAAAATTGGCTTAATTTTCTTGAACATTTTAGCACGTATAGAAAAGGCAAAAATAAATGTTCTGTCCAAATTTCAAGTCTAAGAATATTTTTAACTGAATTACAACAAATAACAAAATTGAAAAATAATAAAAGCATTATCTTCGTGAATTTCCCGTTTTTCTTACGTTTTATCTTGGGTTTTCCCAGTTATTATGAAAACTGCACAGAAAATGAAAATATGACCTCCCAAATGTACCATCTGGACAACATTCCTTTTCAGAAATAGAGCCGCGTGTATATATCTGAGCAAAATTGCTGGTAGAATTTTTATACACAGGATAAAAAAATTAAAAAAACACCTTAGTAAAAACAATACATTCTTCGCTACACTCAGAATCTAAAATGCAAATTTTTTTTTATTGCAGTAATTATTAGAAAACATGCAGTATCAATAAATATTTTTAATCAGAGAAACCGATACGCTCACATACGGTACATGTTATAAAGGATTAATCTTTTTCTATATTATAGTGGTATAGAAATTGTTTTGGTGGAAATATGGTTAATATCTCTTTTGTTGGTAACGTGTATTGGTGGAAATGAGAAAAGTTCATTTATCATTACAAACGATTTTAAGTAAATGTTAATCCAAAAATACAATTAAAAATTTAAAAAAAAAAAAACCGAAAAATAAACATACCATTTCCCGTTTTTTTCTCGGTTATTCCTAATTATTGAATACTTCAAAGAAATCCAAAAATTGATTTCCTCAAAGAATTAACGAAAGAAAATTGTCTACCCAAAACTATCCCTACAGTTGACTATCGCAGCCAGATTTCTGGTAGAAAAGTTGTTTAAACACAAAACAAAAAGAACTGATACTGCTGTATGCTATTGTAGTAGGTGGAAAGTTGGGCAAGCAAAATACATCAAAATATTAAATTTATATATCTGTATGCATCGATAAATCGAGCGAAGTTTGGATGCATACAAGTTTTGAAATGGTTTGATTTTTTCGAAATTTGAACTTTTAAACGCTTATAAAAAAGTTTACTTTAATACGCTCAATTTTCTAAATTCTAAGCCTAGCGAGAAATGTCTCGGTTTTACTATTTTAAAAAAATATTGTCTTGTTTTTTTTTTTTTTTTTTTTTGAAACCTTTTTGTTGAAATTCGGATCTAGTTGGTCCATCGAAGAGGTAATTTTTTGATTTTTCAATAATTTATCATAATTTGGGAAAATTGGAGAATAAATTAGAAAAACAAGAAAGTGTATAACCTCGTTTATGACATAATGGGTTTCATTATTTTTGATGTTGAATTTTGTTTTAATTCGTTTAAACATTTTTACCAAATACTTAAATTGGCCCTTTTTAAACGTAGTAAAATTTTCAAAACATTCTGCCGATTTGTAAGCTATTTATAGGCATTTGACATTTTCGATTTTTGTTCTTAAGTGTTCTAAAAACAATCTTTGGCGGGATTGTAAAAATTATGGTATTTTATACATATATTTAGAATTTTAGAAAAGTTTAGAAAAATACTCAGGAAAAATAATTGCTTAGAATCGTTTTTCGTTAGCAATGGTTAATTATTGCTTATTTATGTATAAGAACTTAAAAAAAAAAAAGGTTTGATAGCCACAATTATTATTGACCAATTTATTCGTAATTTTATCGGAGAAACATACTTTTTTTACCCATATTGTTCGCTTTATTAAAAAAATCAAATTAATTTTTATAAGTTATTGTATTCTGGTAATATGATAATTTAATATATACATATAAAAAAAAATCTAAAACCCTGTAATTGACGGGTGAAATTTTTAAATTGTAATTAACAATGTAAAAACTAAAATTACACTTTTTTTCACAGATTAACAGTAACTATTATATGAATTAATAATTATAATATGCACTTATTTGATTAATGACAATCATTTTTAGACATGATAATAATTATGTCAAATAACTGCAGTGTATCTAGTCGGTTCTGAGAAAAACGCTAATTAATATTATTTTTATTTGACGCGTAATGTATTTTTTTTATGCGTTGTAAAAAAAAAAAAAAGATTAAATTTTCGACTTTTTGTGTGGTTCTCTGAATTTTTAATAATATTTACCTACGTATCACAATCAAATTCATACATTACATTTTAATGGTTTTAAACGGATGAGAATTTTTGTAATTTAACACGTGTTAGTATTGTAATAATTATGAACATCCCGACTGGTTTTTGAACTACTAGCAGTACGTTTTTATTTCATTTTCGTTTTTAATTACAGGTATACCAAACCTCAGTCGTTTGCCGATTGTATCGGGAACGAATTGCCTCTCGGATGGGAAGAGGCCATCGATCCAGTTATTGGGGTCTATTACATCAACCATTTCAACCGTAAGTTTTACAAAAATATAGTAATACGTTCATATAATAACAGTAATTGTAAAAAAAATAAAAAAATTTCAATCTGTGTTAATACGTTTTGTGCAGAATGTACGCAGTTGGAAGACCCAAGGTTGGAATGGAGAGCTATCCAGGAAGCTATGCTGAGAGATTACCTTCATACGGCTCAAGATGTTTTAGAAGTGAGTACAAAACATAATTGATAATAGAAATATTTTTTTTTCGTATTTTTGTTGTATTATTATAAAGTACATACATACATCACTAAAAAATATTGTGTCACGGAGATAAAATATTTTTTGATCGTACTAATATTTTTTTTTTTTTTAATTATAATAAAATAATTTAATAATAGAGTATCGTTAAACGACTAACTGTGTTCGGGGAAGCGATTGCGATATTTTAGAATAAATTAGAATAATATTTTTATATATAGATAAACTATTTTATATTTATATAATACATTATATATTATAATCGAAAGAATTTGACCGGCAAGAAAACGATACACGAAAAACGGAATGATAGTCGACAGTAATTTATTGATATCGTGAGAGTAGGAAAAAAAATGAATTTTTTTTAATGGATATGGTGTGCAGTTACTTTTCGTATTAGTGGCCTATTCATTATTTAGTGATAGTTCTGCCCCACTTTTGGTTCAATGACAAATTCCATCGGACTAACCTGACTAGTCATAAAAATGTTAACACCGCCGCGTTACCTATACGTAATTTTTAGAATTCCACGATAATTATACAGGGTGTACGCCGTGTACGCGCGCTGTCTTTCCGGCGAACAGAAATATTTTTCGGCCGTCCTCCCTCCCGTGTTCCGCGCAATTACAATAATAATGCTTTTAATTCATTATTTTTGGAATAGTTTTTTTTTTTCATACATATTATTATTTTACGAAATTGTTGTATTACAGTTTCTTATAGTCTCGTTTGATGATGACGTGCGGAGATAGAGGGGGTCCATATAGAATGACGTAGGAAGTATATCGGAATAGTTTTTTCAGCAGCTGTTCAATCTTCGACGGCGCGTTTCTTTTATTATTATTATTATACGCCCGCGGTTTATGCGTCTCGAGAAAAAAGTCTGAACCGACCAAGACGACGATAAAACGAAAATTGATTTATCGTTGGCCTCCCCCCCCGCGGCAGTGTAACGAGTCTCGCCGTCGTCGAGACCGGAGGAGAATATAATTTGGATTTTAAAATAGTACCGCTTGATTTCACGCCGCGTTTTTATTATCTAGTATTCCGCGCCAGAAAACCCGTCGAAGATTCGCGCGTCCGTATTTGGTTATTTTTTAAATTTTCTTACACTCGCGCACCGCAACCCCGGTGTATACGCGCGTGCTCGCCTTCAGAAAAAAAAAAACTATACATCCGACCCTCCCCCTCCGCGAGTGCACTCGTCGGGCGTCCCGAGGCTCGGTTTTTTTTTTTTTTTAAATTCTTCACGTATCCCCCTCCCCCGTCCTCTGAGCGGCTGCGGGCTCTCGACGGCGGCGGTGTACGACCGGTGACGGGCGGGCGGGTGATTGACGGCTATCGGCGTCGGCGCCGATCGACGGGCGGGTGGCAGTGACGGCGGTGCAGGTGTCCGCCGCCGTCGCGGCACGGCGAGGGGAGATATTTTCGCCCGGGGCACAACGTGTTCCGTGGGCGCTGCGGGGCTCTCGCATCCGTCCGACGGCTGCGGCGGCGGCGGCGGCGGCCGCTACGACTACTACTACCATAATATTACTACTACCAGTATATAGGTACTACTACTACTACTACTAGTTATTACTACTACTACTACTACTACTACGACTACTACTACTACGACCACGACGACGACGACGACGACGTTGTTTGATACGAAAAGAATGCGGTCCCTCTGCGACGTTGCCGAGTCGTCGGCCGCCGGCCGTGCGCCTTAGAATGTGGAATGTGAAATGCACAACGCGCGCGCGCGCCGCACTGTTACCAACACGTACTCGCCGCGGCCCGCCGAATATAATATTATTATTATATTTATTTATTTATATTACCGGTATCATGCAAGACGAGTGTACTATATCCCATTACAGGCGTTTTACTATTTCGGTATTATTATTGTTGTTTCGCATCGCGTTATTTGTTCTTCGCACATTTTTCTTCTTCCGTAGTCGTTTTTCAACACGAGAAAATTGGCCCCTCCGCTCCCTCTTCCTGTCTATAACGATATTATAATAGTCGCGAGTTACGAATAATTTTATTTTATCGGTCGGTCGAAAAACATTACCCGTAATAAAACCGTTTGCACGCCTTGTAGCGGCATTATACTATCGGCGACGCGGTGAAATTTCGTAACAATCCGACCCATTTTTAACATTTTTTTTTTCCCCGATATCAATATAAACAATCATCACACACACACACACACACACACACACACAATAGGTCACAACAATAATACGCGCGCCGGCCGGCCGGTTCGCGTACACATTCTTCGTCTGTTCGACCTGTTCCCCCGCACGCAATAAATATTGAAAATCTCTCGAAGTATTTATCTTTTTTCGTTCCTTCGTAAGTATTTACGCATATAAAATAATATACAACATAATATCGGGTCGAATTTCTATAATTTATGTCGTCGTTTTTCGTGTGCCCGCAGAGAGGTCGTATTCACGACGTATACGGATGTGTGCGAGCACAGGAATTCCAAGCATTTCGGGGTATCGGTCGCGACAATATGACGTATGTGTGCGTGTTTTTTTTTTTTTTTTATAATTTTTCGTTTCCGAGACTTAAAAATCCATTATTTTCGAGTGTGTGTGTGTGTGTGTGTGTAACGACGACGAATGGAAAAATCATAACACGAGTATATAGAGTAGTAGTGCGCGTGTATAGTAGACGTCCGCAATAAATACGTCTCCCGCGCGCACTACAATGGATTTTATTATTATGTTTCCGTAATTATTATTATTATTATTATTTTATTTTTTTTTTTGTAAAACGGACGTAACAAAACGAGAAAAAAAATCCGCCGCGGAATTCAAACTGGCCGGTTTATTTCGTGCGGTACGCTGACGTCGTCGACGAGAGCTACCGATACGAAATGAAATCGTCATTGTCAATCGATATGCAGTGATTATTGTACATGCGTATATACGTATCTGCAGTTACGCGGTATGTAGAGAGGAACAGGGTTTGTGCCGCGTAAGCGACTATTGTGCGCGAACACGGTATAAAAAACACAAAAATACAAAATAAATAAAAATCCTCCGCGGCGGTTCCTGCACCGCGATCCGTGCTACCCGGCCGCAATGCCCAAGACCATGCCGACTCGGCGGCTACCAGTGTTACACGCCTCTACTCCGAGCTGGTCTTGGCGGCGGCAGCAACAGCTCTTCAATCGTTTTACGGACGAGCCGCCGCCGCCGCCGCAGTGCTACGGAGCCGCGGAGAGAATAAAATAAAATAAAAGCAAAACAAATGAGAAGAGAAGAAGAAGAAGAAGAAGAAGAAGGAAAAAAAACCACCGTCGCGGCAACGCTGCAGCAGCGACCGACGGTGGCTACTAGTGTTACGAGCGCAACACGATCGGATTGTTTTCTAAACTGAAAAAGAATAAAAAAAAAAAAAAAAAAACGATCGAAGACAATGAACCATCTGCTCGGCGGCGCGGTGAAATGATTTGTACCGTTCCGAGCGTACCGATATCACATGTATAAATATATTTGTTTCGTATTATATACGTACTTCTTGTATACCGGAGTTGAAAATTTGAATTTTTCGTAATGCCCGCCGATCGGACGAGCGAAAATCGAAAAATTACGGTCGTGTCGTCGAACCGCACCGCAGCGGTGTTTCGATATAATTTTTCGCGGCCGATCAATAAATAACAATCGCGCTGTATATGTGGGCGCGTTTCGCGCTGTTCATTCGTTTCGCGACACATTCCGGAACCCGACGACGACGAGATAATATTTCTCCCTCCCCCCCCCCCCCGTCCGGCCGGTTCAGTAGAATTTCGGAAGGCTCGATGGGAGGCGACATGCCGATTTCCGTATTGGGACGGCGGCGGAGTAGAAGATAATACGGTGTCTCTCCGGGTTGTGGACTCTGCGACTCGGTGAACTGATGAAGTGGCGTTGTCACCTCTGCAGCGGCGGCCAAAACTCTCGGACAGTATATAGGTACGCGCCAAGAGAAGAAGAATATTATTATTATTATGTAATTGTCGGCTTAACCCGAAAAGGAATTTCGGAGATCGCCGCGCGCGTTCGCGTGTCGGTTTCAAAATCGAAAATTCCGCGCGCCGGTCGATTGGCCAACAACCGCATTCCGGTCGGGTTTCGTCACATTTTTATCAAATATAATAACAATCTAAATAATCTGTTATTTTTTCAAGAATATTTTGTCGTTCGTTTCGGCGGCGGGATTGTTTTACTGCTGCGACAGCGTGTCTGTCTTGTGTTTTACGCGGAAATCGAGTTTTGTATCATAAAATAATAAACGATTCTGAGCAAAAAGTCCGACGTTTTAAAAATCATATCGAAATTTGAACGTTATAAAACAAAACGATTACATTACGCTCGACGTTTTTCGGCCACTAAGTACCCGGCCACTCGTACGGCGATGTTAAAATAACCTCGCGTTGCATTGTCGAGCATTTTCGCCGGGTCAAAACGATTTTTATCCGCACGAAACCAAACGAATACGCTAAAAACACCGAAACATTTCAAATGGCTATTTATACAGCTTGAAAATCGGGTGGTTTGCGAATTTCGCAACGTCTATAGTACGCAGAGAGTGTCGATAATAATTTCACGTATTAAGTGTGTTCGGTGAACGTCCCGACAAAAAACGAAAAATCGAAAATCACGGTCATCGTCTACGTTTTCCCGATACGTGTTTTTTGCCGATTATTTCGGAAAACTATGCGGAAAATGTCGTTTCTCGGAAATCTCGCTCCCGTTTTCGAGCGCGCCCTTTCCGGCGGACAAGTCAAAAAATAAAAATGTACGCATCGTAGTAATAAAACACTCCAATGCGTTTCTCGTTCAACGGATCCGAAATAAATAATAATAAAGAAACCAAAAAGGCGCACGTATCGTCGCATTGAAACCGCTAAACGTTTGCTATACGTTCAGAATTCGAAAAAAATAAAAATAATAATAATAACCTCGAACAGTTTAATCGTAAAATTACTCGCATAGGAAAAATATGCACACTATTCTTCGACTACGTGTATTTATACGTATGTACATACAGGAATTGCGTTTCGTTTTAAACCGTAATAATTATATTAAACGATCGACATTCTTTTATTATTATTATTATTTTTTTTTTCAATTATAAAAACAACACTGAAACCACTATTACGGTGTGTAATACAGTGACGTTTCTCCGGTGTTTTTTTTTTTTTTGTTTTCTTTTCTTTCGGACTTCAAACAATAATAATCCGTAATAATAATATTATACATTTTATTGATTCTCCGCGCGGACGACGGACGACGACCGTAGTCGTGGGTGAGGGGGCTGGGGGGGGGCACGCGACGGACTCTCGGCCGTCGGTTTACCGGAAATACATTCTTCCGCAGGTGGTTTTTTTTTTTTTTATATACCTCTGTTCTCCGACTCGGTATTACTATAATAACAATAATAATAATAATCATATGACGCGTTACCTATCCGGATATATTTGTATTTTTTATATTTTCGGTTATGTAACCGGGGCCACGCTTAGAGATAATAATAATATCGTCAATAGAATACGCGGCGTATACGTCATAACATTATTATTATTATTATTATTATTGTCGTGACCCGTATAATACAGTAATAATAATAAATAATATCCGTAGTATTATTGCAATACCGTTGTGTATTATGTACGTCGCACTATAATATTTCAAACAGTTTTATCGTATTTTTTTTTTTCCGTTTTTCTGTTTAGCCGAAATATTTATCTCGGAAAAACGGTCGAATAATCTCAAACGCGATCGTGCGCGTGCGTAACGTCCCCCGCGATAAACGAAACAATATCAAAAACCGCGTTTCGACAATAAAAAATACGTTATCTCGAATAGTGTAACGTTGTACATAATAATATTATTAATCGCGTTTAAGAAGCAGAAAAAAAAATTAAAGGATGGACATACTTCGCACGTGGGTGCAGCCACTGTTGTAGGTGCGAAGTTGGGAAGGTAGGATACAGACGGGAATTCAATGTGTATCAGCTGTAAACAACGATAAACCATCGCTAACGAAAAAACGATTCTGAGCGGAGTTCCGTTAATAGTGTTGCTTTTTCAGCAATGTGCACGTATGTCATATTATGGTAAAATGATTATGATAATGTGCGTTTTCACTGCAACAATGATTGTTGAAAAAAGATTAAAATAATAAAAGCTTAATAATAGCAAAAAATAAATAAAAACTGTCGCCAACCTTTCAATTTTTTTTTAACCTAAAGAACCGGGTTTTCCCTATTATCTCGAATATTAATGAGAATTTCTAAAGAATCACTTCTCTAAAGTACCACCCAGAAAACATTTTCTTTCAGAAAAGGTGCCGCACTCGATAATCGGAGTATGCGCTCTGGTAGAAAAAGTGTTCAAATAATAAAAATAAACATCTCTGTATAACCAATACGTATCGTCGCCAAATTCGGAGTCTAATATAATAATAATACAATCTAATCGTATTTCGGATGTATCGTTTCACACCGCAATAGTACGATCGCGACAAAACAAATATTAACTAATAACGCGCCCAATGGTATTCCGTCATTACAATATTATTATTCGTACACGGTTGTAGTATTGTTGTTATCTGCGCAATGCGTTTTTATTTATCTAAACGCACATTTCTGTACGATTATCGAAACGATTTCTTAACAATGTTGCCGAGAGGAGTGATCGTCGCGGGCATATACGTAGGTACGTGTGTAAAAGAAAAACGAAACGTCTCGTAGTGTAATAATAATACGATAATAACAATAATAATAATAATACTAATGGGAAAAAATGTAATATGATAATAATGCGGTTTAATCTAACGCGGAGGAGGGGGGGAGGAAACCCACGTACCCATTTAATATAATATTCCTCTATGACGATTATTATTGTTGAAATAAATAGTGAAAAAACAAGTCGACGTTATCGGTGCTCGATGGCCAATCAGAGTGGCGCAACACTCGGAATTCGATCGGGGTAGCACTATAGTCGATCTGCACTGGCCATATGGTATACCGCCAAACCCCCTCTCCCTGATCGCTCTAATTCACACAGAATTATAGCGCCAGCTTAGCTATTTATTTTGTAGCACAATTGATTGATTTTTTTTTTTATAAAGTCTAATTCGGTGTTTAGGTGTTTTTTTTTTTATGTAAGCGCCGTCGTTTTCCGTCTAAATTTCTCCGTTGAAACCGGCCGCTATCACACAGGACCCCCTGGAGGGACACATAATCTATCGTTAGCCCTCGTAAACATATTTCCAGCCCCCCCCTCCCCCGCGGGAACGATTTTAAAACGGACCAAAGAAAACACGTTTTACACATCAGTATTATATACCTGTATTTTATTATTATGTCGTATCAGCAAGTGTTTTTCGCTTTTTCGATTGATTTCTGAACTGTATACACGCGACGGCCCTCTAAGGAAATCAAAGAGTTGGGGCTTGCCAACACATTGCGCCTAGGTATTTATTATTATACGGTTAGATTGACTTCGAAAATAAACCGTTCACGAAATCGACGAAAAGTCCAGGGGGACATGTGTCCATTTTGCCATCATGGACGCCCGAGTCACCGTCATATCAGATAATCAAGAAAGAAATTATTCAGTATTACAAACGTGAGGAACCAGGAGCATTACCCCATCCTTTCAAAGAGAACTTTTTTTTTTTTTGTTTTGTGTAACAACGAATGTTTGTTTTCATAATGAATTGGTGGTACAAACTGAATATACTTTGTATTCGATTTTCTGTAATTTTTATGTTTCACTGCGAGGTATTTCATATTTTGCCCCTTCCCCTTTTCCCCGTCATGTACACGCCACTGGACGTCAGCGCACATTTCGATTACTCAGATGTTTACATTTTTGTCGTGAGGTGCGCGACTACGTAACACGCCCGATATTATTATTGTTACGACGGCCGGAGAACAAAATTATATTTCGTGTGGTCGCGTGTATGTTATGAGTTACGACACGTGGACGCGGTAACGCGCTGGAGGTAAACGAAACGAATTTCCACAAAGAATTTCGTTCTCGCCGGCACCGCCGCCGTCCCGGGCCCGGGCGCGGTGGCTGTGGAACGTTCTACAAACCCCTAGACGTCGCCGCGCCCCGTAGCCCACAGTCATCATCGCGTGGTCATTGTTCGACGCGTTGTTTTTCTATGCGCGCACACGTATTATATTATTACTATATGTGTGTATATGTGCGTGCGTGCGTGCGTGCGTGCGTGTACACGCGATGCGGTCCCGCTGCGCGAGTGTGCCGCCGCGTCGTTCCCTCACCACTACCACAACCGCCGCCACGCCGCCCGGCCGTCGCCGCCGCCGCCGCATACCAAATAGTTGGGATTCCTGAGCGCGCAAGGCCGAATTCCTCCAAGGTAGACACCCGTCCTCCTCCTCCTCCTCCTGCCCATCCTTCTGCTACTCCTACTCCCCTCCCGTCTGTATCCGTTGGACCGTCGTACCTCCCCACTCCCCGCAGCCGCATACCGCAGCCGGCGGCCGCTCCGGCGGACGGGCAACCGAAAAACTAACCCCTTGGGTCAAATTCCGGTCCCGGGATGATGCTGTACACGGCGCGCACATGACCTCAGTCTCTTCCTGCGGCTCGCGAGTCCCGCGTGTCGTGTGTGTGCGTTTGTATTCGTCCGTGTACTGTAATATACGCGTGTTTGTGTGTGCGAGCGCGCGCGCGTCGTCTCCTCCGCCGCCGACTCGTGTGTTCCGTCGTCCGCCAGAAACCGTACTACCGGCCGTATACGCGTTTAAACGCGTGCGTTTCCGTTCCGCCGCGCCGTGTGAATTTTCGGACGCGTGTTTATTTTTTCGTCTATCGCGTTTCTTCCCCCCCCCCCCCTAGAAAATTCGCGATTTTCGACCGCCGATCGGAGGCGTAAAAATAATAATACAAAAATCAAATTACCCCGTCGTCTCGACCCACTCCCGCGCGTTTGCCCTACAGCGGACAGGCAGACGACAGTTCCGCGTCCGCGATATTATATTATGACGTTGTGCTGAACTCTGGCGACACGCTGCGCAATGTTCTCCGATTACTGTTGCGACACTTGGCCGTCCCATTGCGATTACTACTCGTCGTACGACCAACTGGACTTTCAGTATTACCGGGACGTAGACGGACGTGTCTACTGCGTTTACGTAAGAGGCTCTGACAGACTACACTAATATAGGTTTTGGGCAGAATCGGTTTAAGGATGGAAAAAAAGGGCCTCGTTAAAACGTTATACAAAACTTTCATTAAAAAAAAAAAAAAATTATAATCACTTACGAAATAATGGGTGTACATCTCTATGTATTTTTTTTTCGAGTTTTACTCGCCGAAAAAGTTTTCGTTTTATCGTTCAATATTCGTATACACAATTCGTTTTAATTAGAAAAGAACTTCTGATCCGGGTCCCCTGGGACATATAATTTTGTTGGTTTTTTTCACGTATCGTTTTTTACGCCGTCCGAGCAGTTTTAATTCTTGACGTTTTTTATCGCGGGATCATTATTTACTTATTTTTTCATCCATTTCACTTACATTGTGTGATATACCTAGTAATAATAATATTGTCGCCGTTTGGCTACAGCCGAAAATGGAAAATCTATGTCTTCCAGGGGAAATGGAGGCGGGGAAAATGATGTAATAATTTAGTACCCGGCGATCGGGTGCCGAGATGCAGCCAATGATGTCCACATCTGTGCTGTGCTGTGCAGTGAGCACATTCGTGTCGTACATTTTACATCTTTCGCGTCGAACGTTATACTACTGTACGTGTAACGTGTGACGATCGTATACCATGCGGACGGTAAAATGAGCAATCCTCGTTAAATCGAATCATCGGGGTCCGGTTCCCGTTCAAAAGAAATCGAGCAATATAGAGAATAAATAGAGAAATTTATAATTAGAGCCCGCGCGTGACTTCCATGTCGTGGCTGTCTGTGGCGCGAAGAGTATCCACTATCCGGGGGGGGGGGGAGTTATGAATTCCAAATGAAATTCTGGACAGGTTTTCGGTATAGTAAATTACTATTATAGTTGACACGAGCACGACGTATACCACGTATTTAAAACTTTAAGAAAATGTCTGCAATTGCAATTATCCAACTATATATTATACATATTACGTATAATTCGTAAACAACAATTGCGATTTTTCCGCGGGAGGGGGAGTATAACTATCAACCATCTTGATTCGCGTGGCTGGAGTCTGTAAACAGAATAAGAGATTTCGCTCGACTTTATTTGTGCTGATGACTCCCGTTGAATGTGCTCGAATGAGTGGCACACCCGACATTTTTTTTCGGTGAGCTGAACACGTTGAACGAAACGGATATATTATAAATTATAATATCCAAATTTATTAATTTATAAAAATCCTTTTCACGAGAGGTTTTATACGTTTTACAAAATAAATAATTGTGTAGGGTACCTACAGTTATTAGTACTTGATCTAGTCAGTAGAGCAAATCAGTGGTATAAAAACTTGGGTGGAATGGGAGATATATATTTCAATATTCCAATTACTGTACTCAAATTTCAATCTACAATTCAATAATACGTTTTAACACAAGCACTCGTCAATAATCTAAAAACATACATTTTCTAAAACAATTTTTTAGATTCAATAATAAAAAAATAACAAATATTAATAAAATGGAGGATAATTAAAGGAAATCCATAGAACATAAATCAGTGGTCGAGGTCAAGTGGTAGATATAGTAGTTAGTGGCCTAGTAATGACAAAATAAATTATTTAATTTGAGTTTTTTTTTTATTATCATTTAGTTTATTTAGTCATGTGTCTAGAATACGAAAGATAAAAAATTAGGTCGTAGGGGGCTACGGTCGATTTCGAGTGTGCTAAACCTCCTCTACATAATACCTCCGTCACTCATGACTCGTGAAAAAAAAACAAATGTTTTTCGGTTTTGGACGTCGCATTTTTAAATTATACACTTAATTATGTCGTGTTTGCGGTCGTCGTCGGACAGAGCAACTCCGCGCATGTACCCTAGTAGGGAGAGGCACCCAGTCCATTTTACGAATATACCGACAATTTTACCGATACGATGTGTGAGTCAGTGACTCATTGTATAATATTTATGTCGTACACGAATAGTAATTATTAGCCCATTAAACCCGTGCCAGAGTTCGTTCTGACGGGATCCACAATGAAAATCATGTTCATGGTTCACACCTTCGACGGAATATTGAATGTGCGGATACGAACAATAATATTAATCGTCGCGTTAATTTAATTTCCTCTCTCCCCCCGTCAGTTCGCTGGTATTCGCATTCCTCTGCAAACGAAACAAAATAATAGCAAATATACAGCAATGAGCCTAAAAGTGTTTACATTTAATTGAACATAAGTCGAGAAAAGGAAAGAAGGAGGGGTTGGGTCAAATCAAAAGTCATATTATACGTATACAATGTTATTCCGAAATTTTGAGAATATTCTTATTAAGATCATTTGGGCGCTCGAAGTTTATAACCCGTAATCCGTGATAAAAGTTTAATCACCCTATTATTAAATGTGATAGTAATATATTAGAAACAAAAAATCTATACATTGTTCAATAATTATTATTTATAATAAATCTACATCGTAATTTTTATGTTACCTATATTAAAATATGGTAAATGTTAAATGTTTGTAGATACGTTTGGACAAAAGTAGACATGTACATGAGCCATATACATAACAGTAAATAATAATAAAAAAAAAAAATTGAAATTTAAGTTTATAATAACAAATTAATTTTTTAAAATCTGGTATTAAAACCAGATAAAAATAAATTAAGTTTTCGTAAATTTGTCTATATTGGTATTGTATATTTATTATTTTATTTTGTTTTGTAGGCGAAAAAAGAAATTTACGATGTGAAGCAACAGAGACTGTATTTAGCTCAAGACGAATTCAATCACCTCAACAATGCTTTGACAACGTTAAACACATCCAGAACTAGTCGTGAGTACCTAAACAATATTGATCCCTTAAACTATTATGATTTAATATTATAGGTACATAATTTTTAAGTTAACAATAATTAAATTAATTAAAAATAAGTACATTGCGATATACCTAATCAATTGTGTTTTGTACCTATATATAGTTTGTTCGAGTTCTAGTAATATAAGTACAAAATATGATCCTGATTTGCTCAAGTCGGACGTCGCTCATGCCAGAGAACGGGTCACTAGGTTGAAACGTGAATTGGAACAAATCGGAGTAGAAATGTCATGTACCCGCCGTGGAGTCGAGACCCTTTCAAAGTATGTTTTTAGTATTATTAATAACTTTAATAGTTGGAATTAAATTGGATTCGGCAATAACACAATACCGTATTATATTTAATTGCAGTGTGGAGCAGAAATTGTCGACTGACGGCAGTCGTTATAATATCGTTCAAGCTCAAGCAATTGTTAATGAATTGCGAGAGATTCAACAATCGCTGAGCTCTGGTCAACGGGAACGCACTGGACTGATGCACTCATTAGCCAAATTGAAAGACGATTTAACACGACTTCAACTTTGTTCCGCAACCGACGATCCTGATTTACAAAACCATTCTTCGTCCACTCAGCTCAGCGACAAACTTAGCACAGCTTCACAGACAGATTTATCTGGCGAGGTATGCACAACCAATCAATTATTATTTTATTATTGTTACTTCATATGAAATATTAACAGTTAGGTAAGTAAGTTGACGTATATCTGTTGGCTTACGTCATTGATTGGGTTAGAGGTCAATTATTTTGATTATAAACTATAGTGATTAATGGCTGGTGTTGTTTTTTGATTTAATTACATAAATTATTGGTGAATTTATGTTATATTGATAAGTGATTATTTGATTATTTCTAGTTAATGCCCATGGGTACCAGACTCGCTGAAATGGCACGAATGCGTCTTGAGTACGATGAAGCACGAAAGCGCATTCAAAATATACAACAGCAGTTAGCGGATCTAGAGGAAAAAGTTATGCCTGGCCAAGAAGAGTCAGACAAAGATCGATTGTTACTCTTCCAAGAAAAAGAACAACTCTTGAGAGAACTCAGAAGCATAACACCTCGTTCTAGAAGTCATCGTGAGATGACCGACATTCAAGGAGAAATCAAGAAACTTGAACAGGATCTGAACAATGCGTTGGAAATGTCCAATAGAGCCATTACAGATAGGTAATTGATAATTTACCTGTGTAACTAATAATAATAATAATAATATTACACTTACTGACATTTTCTTTACATTTTTAGATTAAGATTGCACGAAGAAAAACAGTTATTATTGCAACAGCTAAAGGAAGCATTGCGTTCGATGACATTGTTAGAATCACAATTGAAAACATTATCTGCATCAACCTTATCAGTTAGTTCTAGTTCAAGTTTGGGTTCCCTGTCTACAACTAGTAGCAAGGGTTCACTTAGCAGTGGTCTTAGTTTTACTGATATTTATGGGGGACCTCAATGTTTGGCTCCAGCTACATATGATAGGCCTGTTGATATGGCTGATTTACATAAAAGGTAAATTAGAGTTATAAAATATATATAATTATTTTTATTTGTATGTATTTGTTTACTTTAATATTTTCTGTGTTAAGTAGAGTTGAGAGGCTTTTGCGAGATGATAGCCAACCACCAGCTTATGAAACCATGGGTGAATCATCTAACACTGTATCTAATGTGACTGGTGTGCCATATTCTAGAAGTTGTCGACCTACAAGTCCTCCACTTTCACCCATATCTGAAACACCTCCTAGGAGTGTATCGGCTGCTGTTAGTGACGAATCGGTCGCTGGTGATTCGGGTGTATTCGAAGCCAGTCATAAGTCTAATTTTAGTACAGAAACTTCCCAAGTTCAAATTAGACTGAGGTATTTTAAGATTAAAATTAATATATGTTTATATTATGTAAGTTATAACAAGCTGTTAAGTATTAATTACTTGTTCTTTTAGGTACTCAATAGCTGAGCAAGTTTTACATGTTTGTATTGAAAGATTGCGAAATGTAGTAGCATTATCCATTGCAGAGTCATGGCAATTGTAAATAATAATTTAATAACAATATTTATTGTTAAAATTATATAGGTTTTTTTTTTTAAAATTTACATTTATATTTTTGTTATTTAGATTTGTCAAAATTTCATTACTGCCTAGTGGTTCAAACTCCTCTTTAAGTGGTTGCACAAAGCCTATATCAGATCTAGCAAAACCAAGGTTTGGTGACAGTTTTGCGTTTAATTTACCATCCAACAAATTATGTACAAAAACTCTACAGGTTAATGTTTGGGGATTGGGTCCTGAAGATATAACCGAGTGTTTGGTAATTATTGTACAGTACAAAGTAATAATTTGATACTCATTAATAATAATTACCAATTTATCATAGGCTTGTGCTCAAGTGAGTTTGGCCGAATTTAATGAGACTGAGAACAACTCTTGGTGCAAATGGTACAACCTATTAAGTTTGAAATTTATGCATAATGGTAGTTCTCTGCCTTCAATCTTGCTCAAAGATGACGGCGGTGGTTCTGATGATTCTACCATAATATCTTCTCAGACTTCAACACTTACACGTAACCAAGGTAAAATTTGTATTTTAAAATATTATATTGTATTGTTACAACTATTAATACTTAATTAAATAATAGGCTGTTGCGAAGAAAATGATGCAAAGTTTATTAATGTTGATAATTTGAACGAGAATGGAGTAGAATATGAAGACGGTGATTCAGATGATAGTGTAAGTGATGATGATGATGAAGAAGAGGATGATGATGATATTGAAGTCTATCAGCTGGTTAATGAAAAGAAAGAATTAGAACAAGTATTGGAAAGTCCTGTAAGTATTTAATATATCAAAATTTGTCTTAGGTTTTATTTTTAACAACAGAGTTTATTTTGTGTCATCTTAATAATTAAAAATCAAACGAAATAGTGTTTTAGATTCTGAGTGGAATGAAGAAGCTTATGGTTTAAAAATGATGTTATTTTTTTTATTTTTTATCTGTTAAAAACTTTTCTACCAGAAATATTGCTCCGATTTACAAGTGTAGCGCTTTTTCTGAAAGAAAATCTGACTGGGATGGTACTTTAAAGAAGTATTTTTTTTGATTTTCTCAATATATTGGAAAAACTCGACAAAAAAACTAGTGGCAAAGTGTATGAGTTAAAAATTATTACTGCCTTTTTTTCCTGTGAACAACTTTTTTACAAGCAATTTCGTTTCCTTTTTACAATTATAGAACTTTTTCTGAAAGAAAATTTGTTTGAAGTAGTACTTTAGCTAGGTAATCTTTTGATTTTCTCAGTATATTGTAAAAAACTGAAAAAAAAAATGGGAGATCAGAAAAATATGTACAATATTAAACAAATATTATTAAAGAAAATATTTAATACATATATAATTATTTTTTTAATATGACATTATCTATTGTTGACAAAGCAACACTATCAATTGAACTTTGCTCAGAATCGTTTTTTCGTTAGCAATAGTTTATAATTGCTTACAGATATACATTAAACTCCCATCTATATTCTATCTTTTTTAATTTGTATTTATTAGGACAAGGAAAACGACACAGAAGACAAAGAAACCAATACAGAAGGTGCCTTTAGTGGTAGTAATGGGGAAAATAATAGAGTACCCACTATAGTTATCAAAAGGTCACAGACATTTTCACCAACTGCCAAAAACCAATATATTTGTAAAGTAAGTTAAATGTTACTTGGAAGAATCTTCATTTGTTCTAAATTCTACATTTGTTCTACAACTATATTTATAATGTTATTTTATAGTTAAATCGAAGTGATAGTGATAGTGCCATGAATTTGTATAGACGACACATATCGTCGAGTGCCAGCATGAAAGGAATAGGAGGCAGTAATGCTGATTTGGCATTCCGCCGTAATTGTTTAGAACGCCGGTCTTTAAGAGTAGGACGAGGACCTGGCACATCACCTAGCAGATGTATGCCAAATGTAAACAGTACTTCTTGGTGTCGCCCACCAAGGACTTCCATTGATCTAGAGCTAGATAGACAGGCACAACATGCTAGGCTATTATCGCTGAACGATGAGATATCTAGGCTTAGACAGTTAAAAAATACACTGGAAATAGCCAAAGAAACTGGTGATACTGATGTGGCCGCATGGGTTTTGGAAGATGAAGAATTTCAAAATCTTGTTAAAGAGGTACATTGAAAGTTTTATTTTTCAGGTAATATTATAAAATTGTTGTTTTGCTAATTGGGTATTATTTTATTAGGCTGGTGATAAGACTCTTGATGAAAAGAAAGTAGAACGACGACTGAAGAGAGCTTCACAAAAATTGTACAATTTAAGAAAAAGTAAAGCCGGTCAAGGAAAACCAGACATCATTTCGTTTAAGTAAGGGCAAAAATTAGATAAACTTATAGTAGAGTGATAATAATATGCAGGTGACATTATTATTATAAATTATTATTTTTCAGAGAGAAAATGGCTTTCTTTACACGACCAGGTGTTTCAGTACCTGTACCTCCCACCAAATCTTCACAAGATCAAAAGACTACAGAAACACGATATCAATACACCGTAGACAGAGTATACGGAGTAGAGGTTTAGTCTTACATTTTTAATTAATAATAAACTAACAAAAAAAGATCCCACCTGCCGTTATTTAAAGACTATGATTTGTATATAAAATAAAAATAAATAATAAAGAGAAAAATTTCAGTTTATTTTTTACTTTAATTTGTAATATATTCAATGTTGCATTATTTGTTTTTATTTTTTAGTTAAATTTTATTTATTGTTATTTTCTTATCTTTATTTTGATGATATTATTATTATTTTTATTGTTAAAATTTTTAAAAGAACAAATAAGTAATATTTTGTATGTGCCTTAATTATATAGATTTTAGATAGGTAGACTTAGGTTAGGTGTAAGTATTTAAACATTGAAATTTGCCATAATTTATTGTTATTATATTATATGACTATTAATACTGTGTATAAAAAGAAACCAATTTTAGATCTGATAGTTCATTTTTTATAATATATATTTTTTAATATTAAATCTTTTGTGTTTATATTATAATATATACACAAAGACCAACTTTAACCCTTATTGGGGAAATAAAATTCAATATTTTAAATTTTTGGCTGTGAATAAAAGTTATAAACAGTACCTATAAACCAAACAATGGTTTCATTTTGCTGAATCGCACACCTTTGTAATAGTATTGTTAATTTTTTATTGGTGCTATAATTCGTCGATTTATTGAAAACTATTAGGCTATCAAATACGAATTATTTATATCAGAACAATGTTAATTGAATCAGGGTAAATTATTAATAATTATTAATAGAATTTTTATATTATGAAGTTTTTCAAAAACGATATATTTTTAAAGAAAAAGAAAACTATGTGTATTTATTATTATTATATACCCATGTTTATTATTATTATTTTTATTATTATTATATATTGCGTTAGTTTTTGTACATTTTTTTTTCTATTTATAATAACTTGTTTTGTTGAGGTATTTTTTTTCTTTATCTATTTTTGTTTTGTTCATAGTGTACATAGACAATATTATTACCTAATACCTAACAAACTCGTAAAATTATGTTAATACGATAGAATTTATTATTATTATCATAATAATGTCGCTTAAAACAAAATGTATGACCTAATAAACGAGTTAGGACAGTATAATAATAACTATTTTTTACAATATACCAATGTGTGTATACATTTTAACCAATAACTGTATCACCTAAATCTCCAAAATGTTCATGGTTGTACCACTTGAAAAGTATTCATTCTATACTTATATCAAACATTAAATTTGATGACAACATATTTATTCTCATTGATTTGAAACATCAATGACATAATAATATGTTCAAATATTTTCTCAGATAGTGAAGATTATGACATAATTATGTTACCAAAGGCATAATATTATTGTTTATCATAATTGATTGTACATTTGTATTGTTTTAATTATAGTATTATAACTGGGATTGTAAATAATGCAGTAAAAAATCAAAATTATACAAGTATAAAAACCTACCCATCAGGTTTTATTTTAAAAAACAACTAGATTTTTAATTATTTTAATTAGTTATCTAAAAAGAAGAATTTGTTTTTCCATTTACCTATTCAGTTTGGTGATTATTAATAATAACAAGTTTTCATTAAATGTTCAAAAAAGTTGTAATTCAAATCAAAATTGTCCTACCTACAAAATTAAAGTTTACAAATAGAATTTGTAGTTGTATACTTAATATAAACTTGGTGTTAAGAAAGCTGTTTTACTAAAAGTTAAAAATAATGTGAATACTTACGGATAACTATCAATATTATTATTATTGTGGATAATTATCCATATCATAAAAATATTATTTTGAACGGTTGAAATGAATGTTGAAAATTAAAATTGTGTGGAAATTATTTATCAATTGATTTTTACGATTAAAATAATGAATAAGTATTCTATTTGTGGAGAAAATGCTTACTGCAAAACAACTATTTGTATAGATTAATGTTTTCCCAATAAAACATGTCTAATAGATAAATAAAAAAAAAAAGGTAGATACAAGTTTTTGTCCGGTCCAGTCAGAACGCGTGGTGGTGTTCGCGGAACGATCCGATTGGCTGTTCTATCAATAGGCGGTCGTAGACACTGTGACATATTATACAGAGTGGCACAACCTGAACGACGTGACTGAACCGTTCGATTCGTAGCGGCACACGGTATATACATCGGAATCGGTGTTTGGCGGCTATTGACTACAAACTCCGCCCACCGACAAATCATAATGGTGCACAGTAATCGTTTTATTTAATAATTTATGGTTACCTAAGTCATAAACCAGCTGTTGTTATCAAATCTAATCTTTAATTTAAATTAATTTTTTTTGTTTACATACTTAGCCGATTTGCTAGGTATTATTTTTAATTGATTGGATGTTTCTATTATGTATGACGATATTTTTAATAACCTATAATAAAGTTATTTTAAAGCACGGCAGACAAGATAATCCATCAGGGTCTAAAGATTCCGAAGATTTTTTATAATACCATAAAATATCTTGCATATACGAGTAGAACTGATGAAAAAACAATTTACTAAAATATTTAAGAAATAATATTCAGACATGTAACAAAGTGTTCGCATAGAAAATGTTACATTAGTATGTAAGAACGTTTCCACAGGAAATAAAAATTACCTACTACAAATAACAGTTGAGATGGGTCTGTATTGAATACGTTATAACAGTACATAACAATTTTAGGTAATAATAGAAAAAATGAATAGCTCATATGAAGTTTGCACTTATGTTTTTAGTTGACGTAGAATGAAATTTCTCATGTTACATAACATGAAACACAATTATATAAAGTAAAAATATAATTATTGTACCATTTAAATTGTATATTAATTTTTTGGAAAAAATATTTAGGGTAGAAAGAGATGAAGAAGAATATTCATTAATAATAATAAAAAAAAAAATTGTTAGGGAATTTTTTTAATGCCTTTTAAAATCTTTTTTTTATAATTAATTGCATTAAATTTTAGTTTTTATAATTTTTTTTTTGATTTTTTTATTGTAAATTGTTTTTAGAGCATTTAAATTGACACCATAGCCATAACTTATCAAAGTTATTTCTAAAAACTGATTTGTTTATTTTTATTTTAACTATTTTGCATGCAAATCAATCAACATTATATCTCAGAGAGAATAATTTTATTTCTAAAACAGTGGGGTATGCAAGATTTTTCAATGGGGTGGGGGGCTTGAAAATTGATAGTTAATCAGTTGTTTTGTCACTCGTTTGAAAAATAAAGTAGTTATAAAAAAAGGCGAAAAAAACTTTAATATTTAAGTAACTATAAAAATGTTGGTCAGTAAAACACAATTTTTAAGCTGGTAGCAGGTAGAGTATTAAAAAACCAGAGATCAAACAAAATTAGAATTTAATCAATTGGGGATTGCAATACTTCCTGTTTTTTTTTTCAAACTAAAAATAGAAACCGAATTCGATCTTGTTTCTGTAATGAACAATTAAATAATTATTTTAGTGTGCAAAGCTATGAGATTTAGATACGTTTTACACACACAAAAAAAATGAAAAATCTAAGTATACAAAATATTATTCCTTTGATACTTAACATGTATATCGTGTTTGTACGTCGACTGGTTAACTCGACGTTAATATTATATACACGAGTAAATCGATACATTATTATTATTAGTTTATAATCATCATTATCTTTGTATATTGAATCAATGACAAATCGAATATGCGCAATTAGTGTGACGTTATATTGTCTGATCAAAATCCTTATCAGGTACTATTGGATCCAAACAAATAAAAATGTACATACAAATGCGATGCAAAGGAACTTTAAAATTGTTATATTCTACATTTTAAATACTTATTTTATTCAATAAAATCCCATTTGAGCATCTCTTATTTAATAATATTCAAATCTTAGTATAGAAATACTCATATTTCAATACTTTTGTTCAAAAGTATAAAATGTGTGTTTTTAATCAACAATAATTTGATTGATAACAGTCTGATAAGAAGTGCACGACGTAAGAAACTAAGAGCTAATCACGCGTACAAACCTGCAGGTTTCATCGTGAACGAGCATTTCGGGTTTTGAAGTTTTGATTCGATAGATACGTGATTAAAAGAATACATAAATAAAAAAACATTAGTGTCCAATTTTAAGAACGAGTGCTTATAAAATATATGGTCGAATTTAATTAATTTGAATTTCCAATAGTTGTAAGTTCCCAAACACCTTATAATCCGCGTTGTTGTACGTCTTTGTAGTTACTTAAAGACTATAATAGTACACATTACATACTTACTCTTGGAATAAAGAATATTGCGTCGCTTGAAATACGAAATGTGAGACAAATATTTGTTTTTTTCCGTGCAAATTTTCATTTCTATACATCAACATCGTGTAAAATACACTATAATATAATGGCAATATACATTTTTTTTACCTGCAGTGATATATGAATATTCATATGAATAATAATGTACACATTATATTATATATGATACATTGATATTATTTTTTATAAATAATTATAATATTAATATATAAATAATAATACATTAATTAACATACCTATTTAATTTCTGAACATTTGAATACTATAATAATACAAAAGGCTATTGTAGATATTTATTGTATAATTATATGAATTCAATATTCAAAAATCAAAAATTATCTTATTGAATGACAATTTGTAAATAAATATTATAATTAATAACTAATTTTTTCCATCAACCCGAACAATAATTATTAATATTTTTCAGTATACCTACATAATAATAAAGCCATGTAAGAAATATTAAAACACACAAACAAAATTCAAATGCATTCTATTAAAAGTTGATTTTCGGGCACATGGTTTAAGAATTGTTGAATTAAATGTTTAGTTAGAATAGAATAAGCATCGTCGATGGAAAGTTGAATTGCATTTATAATATCACGCCAATTCTCATTTATAAATTTATCCGTGTGATCTCCTGTAATATGAACAAATGACTAACAATTAAAAACTTACACTAGAAAAAACACTTTCACATATAATTTAATATGACAAATTGAATTTTTTGTCATTATGTTTAAAATATATATAATTATGCATAAATTCATTAAATGCCTAATTTGCAGTTTAATATTGTATAATGTTAATTTTTAACTTACTCGTATATGGTAAAATAAAATTTCATAAGAATAATAACTATAGGTCTTTAATGAAAAAAATATTTAATACTGCTGATTAGTGTTCTACTATTGTAGAGGTAATCGATTAGAACATCCATGTATAAAATATCCGGTTTGTTCGCAGTTTGCCGACTCCCAATTCGCTAATGATGATAATATAGGAATAGCAATTTATCCTAACCTAACACATGGTTATTGACATTGATCAATAATAGGCATAGGCGTGCGCAGATCTTGGAGAAGGCAGAATATATATTATATGCAATATAATTGAATACTATTTTGATTATTATTTATTAGTAGATTCGGAGGCAATATATTCAATAAAGAAAGCATTTAAAATGTGAAGAAAGACAAAAAAAGAACCATTTAATTTATATAAAAAGCAATAACAAAAACAGCGGTTATTAGATAAAAATTATGATTTTAGTTTGTAGTAATATTTCACTGCGTTAACTTGAGCGCAGGAATAGTACCATACAACATATGTTACATACACATTTTTTATTTCATTTTTCCAGCCACTATGGAAAGGTACAAAATAAAGTCGGAAAAAAATTATAAATTACTTATAGTTAACAATTATATCCACAGAATAGATCGAAAATGCGAAGAAAACGAATATTATAAATGTGTAAATAATTGTGGTGGTAATATAATAATAATAATAATAGTAAAAAAGATCTGATACACGGGAAGAGTGTACTACTGTATTAGGAGAGAACTGAGAAGTTAGAAAAGTAGAATAAATTAAGTTATTTAATTTATATCTGTACGTAAAAAAAATTGTTTACGAAAAACGGTTTAGAGTGTACTTCGTTGATGCGTCATGTTTTGAAATAGCATAGGATTTACGTCAACATTTGACTAAAAAAATCTTAAAAAAAGGGGGAAATTTCTGTATTACGCTTAACATTTTATACTTCTAAGTTAAATCCATAATGAACCTTTCATTAAACTGTAAACATTCTTTTGGCCAAACAATTTTAATCATACAGCACTAAAATGTCTATAGCTTATAGCTCGAAATCGTTAGAATGTATTGAAAACTGTATTATGTCCAGAAAAGACTAACGAGGTACCTGTTCTTTGAAATTGGCATGTATAAATTACAAAATAAAATAAAATCGAAAGTAACGAAATGGTTAATACTTTTAAATTTCCCGTTTTTCATAAGTTATAAACGCGTTGTTGCCCGGCAATTTATTTTGAAAGCTATTGCCTGTGACAACCAAATTATCTAATAATAACTATTTTTTTCTCTCACGTTGCCAAGTTCATCACAATAAAAAAAAAACTTTGTAATAAACTCGGTTCTACATCACGCCTAGCCAAACAGGCAGACACACTTCCTTTTATTAATTAAGGGTCTATATTAATAAAAGGAAGTAATATATATTAATATAGATCGTAGACAGAAGCTTATTAGATATTGATTTATAGTATAAAATATACATTTTAGGGAAGTTAAGTCCTTCATAGCCCCATCCAAATTCTTTCCCTATGAGCGACTTATAAAGTTATAAAGTATAACATACCCAAATCTTTGTTTCCGTTAAACAAATTAGTCATCGTTATATGGACATGTTTAACAGTACTCGTCAATTTTAAATTTTCAACTTCAAAAAACTTGTTTACTTTATTGGAAACTGGTTTCATTTGTATATTAAAAACCATTTTCGGTATATCTATAAACAAAAATTAATTTCTGTAGTATACTTATTAATTATTATGCACGTATGTATCTATATACGTATTACAGTTTTTAATTTTATTACCATAGTCAAATATAAATTTGCCGTTTCCTGAAACTGGAAGAGAGCCGATTTTTCTATTTCCTTCGTAATCTCCCGTGATTATTATACGGGCCGGAAATCGTAACTCAACACTAAGATTATAATTTACAGGATCATAGCTATAAAATAATTACATTTATGTAATATATTACACGAATAAAATATCTAAATATTTTGTATATATCTACTGCAGATATGTACTTACTGAACTTTATCTATTATTGTAATTTTCAAGTTTTCTATGGTTAGGTTTCTACATCTAATGTCCATGGTTACTGGTCCAGTTTTTGGTCTAGTTCTATTAACGGGATTACATACGAATCTAACTCCATTAAACCTAAACTCGGATTACCTATAAACACAAGTCGTATTTTTTAAATTTTAATATTTTTTTCTACTCACCTTCATCCCAAATATTTGGGATGGTTAAAAATTTTAATATTATAATTTTAAATTCAAATAAATATCGAATTCGTCATATATATATATATGAACCAAGAAAAAATATTTGCGTGTGTTAATAGAAAACTAGAAACTATAGTATTTGGAGTTTATTCTTACCTTTTCCCAAATAAGGCAGACCCCTTTGAAATGCGTCTTTTAGACATTCGTCGAGATTAGGATCGTTTTTTCTACATTGTACAAAGTCCTTTGCTGTCATAATAATAAATTACAAAATTTTAACCATTATAGTAATATTTCATGAAATGTATTTAATTTGAATATTAAATTAAAGTATTAATTATAATTGCACGGAAAAAAAAAAAGAATATGTCTGAAAATGTTGTTATACTTAATATAGTATTAGACTAGAGAACGAATCTAAATGCTTAAAATCGTTAAAAACTCCCTGAAAAAATCGCTAAATAATAATTTAAAAGCAAAAATGATTTGAAGGGTTTAAAAGACCCCCCTATAACGGTTCATTTAAGAGCATATAAGTTCGTTTTCTATAACTAGGTGGGTAGTTGGGAAGGTGGGATGGATAAAGTTATTTAATTTATACTATTACTTACGAAGAACAATGTAATATGACAACTTATTCCCCTAATAAACATTCGTATGCACATGGCGTTAGTATCAAGGATGTGCTTTTTGAAGAGATTACATTTTCACCACACTCCTATCATTTGAATGCTCAAATTTCATAATTTTTTAGAAACAGTATAGTTATTATAGTATAGTATTATATTATTATATAGTAGGCATTATCAGTTATTTAATGTTTTTCAAAATGTATCTTTTTTACACAAAATAGGCGGGAAGTGGGAAATTTGATTCTAGCCATTGATTTCTGTTGTTCAGTATTCACGAGTGTGTTTTTATGCGTTTTTAATTATTTTAAGTAATAATAATAAATACGTTTATAAGCTAAATATTGTTAGAGTTGTCATATCATACTCGGGAGTGAACTGAAGAGTATTCAGTCCACTGTTTTAGAAAATAATCAGACCAAAAGGACCAAAACGGTCCAACATTTTTCCAAATCAATTTAGTAAAAATTTGGCTATTAATTTTACCTAAAAGTACCTGTTCTAAGAAAAAGAAAATGTTATGATTTTTAGACCTCTAGAAGCTCCAATAGGCTACGGTCTCGAAATGTTTGGATAATAACGATATTAATCCATTAACAAAAAAAAATTCATCTTCTTTATTAAATAAAAAGTTTCTATCTGAAATTAATAATTTTAATTTTAAGTTCTTTTTGGTGGCGGTGTTAGCGGTTGACCTGATATCCTCCCATGTTTATGTCAATCGACTAATATTGTTCTGAAATTTTGTTGACTTTAAGGGAGGTTATTATTTTGTTTTACCGAACATTTTTTCCAATGCTTAAAAAATAAAATACAACAAATTTGTAAGTTTGTAAATAAGCCATCGTGTTGGCCATATAAAGGGACCAGCCAACTGTGCTGTAGGACAGTGGGCTAGTCTGATTCGGACTACATTATTTGGCCATGCTTTATCGATAATATTTGAAATAAGTTAAATTTAAATTCTTAAATCGTATAATCGTATAATGTACAAATATGCTTTAAAACTAACGAAATGAGAGAAAAATAGTAAAATAAAATTACTGTAAAAATTAAAAAAAAACATTTAGGAATACAAAATTAGTTTCACTTCGGAAGTACCAGTTACATGAAATAAACTGTGATTTTTTCTATAACTGTTTTATGAGTGGAACACCCTTTATATTATGTATATCTACAGAAATTTGATTATATTTTATTTTTCACTTAAATTTTTTTACTAAAATGTAATAAACTAATAGAATTGAATAATAGTAATATTAATACACTATCGTTTTATACAGCCTATCGCTATGGATAGTTACACCATCTATATTTTTGCCTCTCCCCCAACTATGTGAAAAATAGTTCCTCTGTCTCTGTACAGCCCGTATTAAAAAGGTATCGTCAGTGACATTTTAAATTAATAAAGAAGTTACGAGAAGTTTTCAAGTAATGGAAACCTTATTGGACACTAAGACTCCTTTGTAACCAACAACAAAATGGAAGGAAAAATAAATGGATGCAAGGAAGAGGAAGACCAAGGAAGATATTTCTCGGAATGAATATATGAATATAGGAGAGATGGTTAGAATTGGAATAGGTGGATGCAACGGGTATTCACGTATGGAGACTAATTATTACGGAGAACAGAACGGAAGTCGATGTTTACTACAAGAGTTAACTAGTTAGTAAAGAGGAAAAATTAAAATTTAAAACCATATTATTATTATCAAAATCGAAATATATCTATTTTCGATACAGATTCCGAGATTACGGCAACGTCATTACTGATCTGTAACTAAATGTATTTTTATCCGACATCGCGAACGGGTTCGCACTGGGTCCGCTCCGAATCTAAATAAAAAGTATAAAACACGTCGTCATCGTAAAACCAATCCAATCCCGCGGTCCTCCCCGAACACGGAATTAAATTATTGACCGTCGGCACGCGACGTTTATTATTTCTCCCGGGGTCGGAAACGATCCAATATAACGCAACTATGAATTATTCAATCGCACAATACAATTTAGTCACACTTACGAAGCAACGGCCGTCGCTTGCGGTCGTATCCGTAAATTTGCTCGGAATATTCAGAACCGCTCGGCCGGTATAAAGCAAACGTAATTGGTTACTTATATACATATTATTATTATTATTATTTGTTTAAACGAACGGTTCTGGTTAAATTTCGTTTCCGACGGCTAATATTTGCGTTCGGGGAACAGTGTTGTGTGCGTAAAAGACAGTTGGCGGACATTTCGCGGCGGACAGTATACTATGTAAGATTGTGCGCCCGTAGGAAATGTATAGGTGAAGACGGCAGAGACCGAAAAGCGCAAATCGATAACCGGGTCTATGCGATCAATTTTGTATTAAATAACGATCGCCGTGGGTTCAATTACGGGAGGGTGGAGCTGAACAGGCATTAGCACATTCAAATTCGTTTTGTGTTCGCGTTAAATGTTCGGCTTACAAAACAATACCAAAATTATATATTTTTTTTGCAGAACGGTATTTATTATTTTGAAATTTCGATTATCTTTTACGAAATCTTCGGCGCGGTCAGATTTTATCGCGTTTAGCGACGATTTGGTGACGTCGCCAGATCCGAGCCCAACGTCATCGTTCCGCGTTCACAAACGCTCGAACGAAAAATGTAATGGCGGCGTAAGGGGCCTGTGATGTCCTGTCGTTCCACCGAGAGCGCAAGCAAAGCGATTGTATGCGTCTGTATACTGCGTATGCTTTGTACGCCACGTTCACTATGCGGTGCGGCAACACAGAACACGCTACGCATACTACCGTACGATATTTGCTACTAGTCACACGAAACGGTTATCAGTTATGTTCAAGATGTTATCGGGTACGTTGCCTTGGGAAAGTGATAGCAGTTGGTGACGGAGCTTTGTTGTTGTTTTCGTTAAATAATAATAATAATAAAGTAACATCACTCCGAAAAAATAACGTAGCACTCGCGAAAGTTAATAAATTACAATTTATTTTTGTTGAAGCGACGTTAAAACTGCACGCGTTAACAATTTATGATCGACTGCTGTTTTAGTAATTCTCCGTCGTCGTAATCGGCTTTCCGTAAAATTGCGTTGCGATAAAATAAGAGACGAGAGTCAACACGATAGCGCAGGTCGTCAAAAACGTCGCGACACACGGCTCAAAAATATAGCCACAAATCAAACACTCAGCGACGCGTCGCAACGCGGCTAAGAACAAAACGTAGCGTACACTATTCTGCGTGGCCATTTACGTCTACAAGACAGCAAACCAATTTTTATTCGTATAGCAAACATCGCGAACACAGCACGCGTAGCGTTCTGCGTGGCAGCGTGCGCCCAGTCCAGTTAGTTAAAATGTATAAAACCAGAGCGCGTACGTAGGTACCTACTCAATTTTAATATTTCCAGATAGCCCCATTACAGAATACACGACACCGTCGCGTCGTTTACTATACTTGACCTTTTTTTTTTTGTCACTATATACATTTATATTGTAAACTATTGCGGTAACGACGAAACCGTTGAGTTAAGTTGATTAGGTCAGTAACTGCAGTATTCATATATTGGTTTATATTTGAAAGTATTAAACGATCTGGTAAAGGGTGTCCCGTTTTCGACATGATCGGCTATCCGTTATGCTCGTATTTCCGTGTAACGTGTACTTAAACATACCGTTTTACGTGGCGTTTTTGATTCTGAGCGTAGCGGAATCTATTCGTTGTTATTACTATGATATGTTATTAAAAATATCTTACTAATTTATGATAATTGATTCCAATTATTGTGTTATTAAATACTCGATAACAGACGCTGTCTCATTTTTAAATATGTATAGGCATATAAAATTAATAAATTATTGTAAGAACCTCTTCGGACCCGCACCACGCGTAATATTAATAAACCCGTCGTTGAACGATAAAAGATGGGCACCTAAACGAAACGATTGGATTTTTCTTTGCCGACGTCTATCAACGGATGTATAATAAATGACACAGGTATGTCTTTGATGGTTTAACGGGGGTGGGGGGGGGAATGGTGGTGGTGGTCAGTCCTTACAGACGTTAATCGACACGCCATAACGCGGTTTATTCTGTTATCGATTTTTTATTCCGCCAGCGAGTATCGTAAGGACGGTTTGTTAATATACCGGCACGCTTGTAGACTAGACAAATTCAGAAACTGCAATAATAATGCATACGTCACGAGTAGTGCATTCCGTATCGTAAATTCAAATTATAATACCTACAATCCGATTCTGTGCTGCGTTGCAAGTTTGGCCAGTTTCGACGCGAACTATTGTTATTTTTCGACATTGTGGTTTGGTATACGCCTGCCGAGGGTAACGAAAACAAACCGTTCAGAAAAACATGTTAATTATTATCTCGGTACATCTGAAAATATATACCGATACGAATATAAACTAATATAAATATGTGTATATACATACGAACTAACGTACTGTGAGCAAAACTGATTATCTACAACACTACCACAGAACAATATACAATATACAATATCGATTATTTAAGTATCAGATTCTCTGAGATATTCGGATTCCCGACTTTCCGTTTAAACGTTTTACCGAACGGTCTCTTTGTCAGAATAATGCGCAACTCAAATGATATAATAATGT